CGAGGGCCGGGAAAAGTGGTTTTTATTGCATCGCTGGACTGTATTTCCTATTTAAGAATTCTTCTTATTTATGTGAGCTCAGGGAGCAACTTTTTTTTTTTCACAGTTGTTTAAATTCTTGGGGGTTATTGTGTATTTATAAGGGGCTCGAGGTGGGGGGGTAAAGAAATGCCGTTCCTGAAAGACGCTGTTCAGTGGGGATGAATGTATTTATTGGACAGCTTTGTTTTGCTGGTTTTCAAAATATTGCTTTTTAAGGAAATCTATTTTTTTACCTGCTATTTATTACAGAGTATATTATGTATATTTTCCTGCATAAATTATTTTTTTACATGTTATTTAATATGAAAAATAAAACAGATACCATAAACAGACAAGCTGCCATTATATGTTTTTACTACGTTTTGTTACAGTGTCATCCCTTCAGAAAAGTGAGTTATTGTGGGAGTGAAGGAGGAGATTGGGGCAAATTTTAGGCATCTGAAAATTAGCAAACCTTTGGCACTCGTGTTCCTCTCCACCCTTCTGGGGGTGCACCCCGACCGCCCCGCCGGGTTTGCCTTTGGGCACAGCTGGATGCTGTTGTGGCTGGGGCTGTCCCTGCCTGCTCCAGAACCTTTCCAGGATGGATGCCCGTGTCGGGCGGTGCAAGCCAGGGCACAAAGCCTGGAGCAGCCCACAGCCTAAAGCGACGCTCGCATCCCGGTATGGGCTGGGAGAGCCTTGGGGTTTCGCCATCCTCCGGGCTTTCAGAAGATCCCTGAATGATTTAGGCACCAAACCAGAGGTCAGGACAAGCGAGGAGCCGAGGAAAGCACGGAGAGGAGGAAAAGGACCCGTGAGCAGATCCATACCTCATTCAATCCCTATTTTCTCAGGTCAGGGAGATGGTTCTGCGGACACAGGTCACCAGGGAAGGGCAGCCAGCAACAGCAGCCGTGTGGACGTGTGATGGCCACACCTGGGTGGGTGATCACTGGAACCTGGGGACCAAAAAGGCACAGGTTTTGGTGGCAGGAAGGAGAGGAGCAAAGGGAAGCTGTTGGGAGCTTCAGGCTGGGGTAATTTTAAGGTTGCAGAGATGGCGACCGAGCTGCCAGTGGCTGAGCTGCAGCACAGCCACAGCTTCCCACAAACAGCTGGGGACGTGAGCCATAAACACTTGTCGCGAAGCGTGTCCCAGGTACTGCACGCTTTGCAAGGATGCCATCAAAATGAAACCTCGTTGCTGATGGGGAGGGAAAAAAGCTTTATTTTCCCTTTTGTTTCCAAATTATGCTTTATACTTAAGGTAGCCGGGAACTAAAGTGGGGAAATGCTGTTGTCCTTGTCTTTTGCAGCTGGATGCAACTTGCTTCTGCAGGAGTGATGGGCCCTGGGCGCTCCAGACATCCCCAAGTACGCGCCTTCACACACGCCTGCATGCTTGGGCTGTACCGACTTCAAGGCGGGAGGAAAGCACACCCGGAGGGGCGAGGGAAGCCCATCCCACTGCAGGTGTGTGAACGCACGCTGCCCTGAAACCAGAAACCCTGGGCAAAAGGCATTTCCACCCGACGTGGAGCGACTTCGCTGGGACAGGGAGAAGCCAGAGGCCGGACGCCGGGCTCTTTGGGGAGCTTTAATAGACTTTATCATCTGGCCATATCCTAGGTGCTACCCACCCACTGCCATCTCATGTCAGCAGTGACAGCCAAGGCAATGAAAAGCCACCAGATGGGAAATGCGGTAGGGGCAATGATGGTTGGTGGGCAAAGCCCCGGCGGTGTGTCTGATATGGCACTTTGGCTCCTGTTTTGGTTAAAATGAGGCATAGCTCATCTTTCAAAACCCAGGCTGCAGTGATACTTTGCCTGTCTGGCCACAAGCTCCTAGGAAAGGGCAGATGCTGTCAGTGCCTGCTTCAGTGGAGTCTGTCCTAGTGACCCCTTCTCCTGGCCCCACTCGCAGTTTCATCCCTCGGTTTTGAAGTCTTGCCAACATCCTGGTTTTAAAACATTTCTGGTCAGAAGTGCTACGCTGCAATATCTAAACAAGACACAGATCTGGAGAGGAAAGCCTAACAAGGGCAGAAGGTGTTTCTTCATCCCCCGAAGAGATGTATTTAGATTATCCTGCTCTTATTAAGGTATCTACCAAGTCATTGCAAAACGCAGCTGCCACAAAACAACACGTGATGCTGCTGCGGGTGCCCAGGAGGCAGGCGCAGGGCTTCCCATGTGCCCACCTCTGCAGAAGGTAATTAGCTCTGCTCCCTGAGCGGCAGCAGGGTTGCAGCACAGCTCTGCCCAGCAGAAGGCGAGGGCCGAAATCACTCCTGGGGAACAGTGGTCCCTCTTTATCTCTCCGCCGGGTTCAGAGCAGAAGGCGAGGGCCGAAATCACTCCCGGGGAACAGTGGTCCCTCTTTATCTCTCCGCCGGGTTCACGAGGCATCATTTCCATCGCGGTCCTCCCTGTGAGGGCAGGAAATAAAAGATGTGCTGATACCTTCCCTGCTGCCCCGCACGGCTGCCTTCGGCAGGTTAACCTCCCAGTATCTCCCATGTAAAGCACAGTTCACTGAAAATTAAGGCTGGGGAGACTATTTTGTTCACTTGGCAGATGGGCCAGGCTTCAGCGACGGGGTGGCCAGGCTCCTTGGGGTGCTGGAAGCAGGGCTGATGGGGGCACAGGGATGCAGCTGCAAGTGCCACAGCTGGCCAACTTTAGCCTAACGCCCCTGGCCAGCTTCTTATAGCTCAGCGGGAGCCCCTCTTTCTCTTGGAAGGTGCTCGCACATGGTCAAAAAGCACTTTAGCTTTCCTCACAGGTTCAGACAAGGGGTGCCAGGAGAGTGACGCTGGGTATTCAGAGCCTTTTTGAGCATCACCGAGCGCTTGGCTTGTTAACGCAGAGGGATGTTCATGGCAGTTACCCAGCCTCCCCAGTGAAGAGGAGGGAGGCATGCTCTTCCCTGCACTAGTTTCGGTTCAGACACAGAACAGCAGAAGGAAAGGCAGAAAGCCTCGGTTTTGCTGTGTCTTTGTACGGCTGCAGTGTTTGGAAGGCAGTGCAGTTCCCACGTGGACTCCCACCTCTGGCCCCAAGGGCAGAATTTAGTGGGAAGAAACCCACTAGGTGGGTAGACAGACGGATGTTTAACCCATGGTGAAGGGGAGCTTTCTGTGCCGAGCTCTGCTGGAAAATGATCAGGGAAGCACTGAGGTAGACCAAGCAGTTGGAAAAGGAGGACAAGGGCAAGTATGTGACTCCTGGAATAGTCGCCCCGAGCCAGCTGCTTGTTTATGATTTGTAGCATCCTGGGGAAAACACCGGTGTCACGGAAGGGACTGAACTGTCGGAGTGCGAAACATAAAGGCCGTCGTGAACAGACAGCTCTGTGGTCAAAGAGCACGAAACACCTCGTGGCAGCAGTGATTGTGGCTCCCCTCTAGTGATCGACGGGCAGAAGGTGTCAAGATCTTGTTTGCATTAGATCTCCACTCTCATTGCCTCCAGCCTGGGCACCGATGCTGGCTTAGGAGACTTACTGGAATCTTGCAGGATGTAAATAAAATATGATAAGGCCCTGTGGGATTTGGCAGATGTCCGGCTAATGTAACGCAGTAACAAACCACCTGACTGCTGCTCTTTCTGCTGAAGTTTTTATGCCACTTTCAATATAATCTAAATCTCCTGGTCCTGCGATGAACGACACGGCTGAGATGTACTGGTGAGATCTGTTTCATTTTCTCTCTCCAAGAACTGCTTATGCAATGGAGTTTTATTTTGGTAGGGTTGCTTTTATTTCATGTATATACACAGTTTTGTGCTTTTGTTGAATAAGCAGGGGAAATGTCTACCAAATCACAGAAAAGGCAGTGGAGTCTGGGAGTTTTTCAGTTCAGCCTTTTTTGCACTCCTCCTGAGTGGCAAAAACTCTGCAGCTTTGTGGGAAGTGTTGCCTAACACGTTGCAGGTGACATTTCTGCAGGCAAATCAAGAAAACCAACAGCTGAGTTTTATTGATGGATCATGTTATGTGGTCCTGGTTAAACAAGTTCTGCTCCAAACCCTCTGACCAGAACCCAGGTTGATAATACGCAAGGAAGAACTGTGCTCTCACCTGTTAGCAGGAGCATTTTTTGGGGATGCTTGGCACTCTGAGGAATAGGAAAATGAGTGGCTGCGGGTGTTATGGGAACGTACTGTTTTCTAACATGCTAGATACTGCTGCCCTTGACGTTGTAATTTCTCCTCCAGTGTGGTGCTGCTCATAATTCTAAATAATAATTCCTATCTATCAGCAATTGTACTGGGAATCATTTTGTGATGTTCCCATGTTGCCACCTGGGGAATACTCAGTGAGATCCACCTGCTTTTGATTTGCTTTGACAAAAAAGGTTATTTGAAAAGTGGCCTTCACTTTGAACGGCAGATGACTTCAGCTGCGTGTGTATGAGTGGCTGATGGGTTACTTATTTTCACGCAAAAAACAGCACCTTGGACTAAAGGAGCAGGCAAAAGACAGCTGCTGAAGGCTCCCGCGACTCCAAACCGCTGCCTAAATTAGTAATGATTTGCTGTCTCTGCACACCAGAAGTCTCACTTTGGCTGTCACCTTTGTAGCTATGATTGAACCATTTCCTCCGTCTCTGGAGATTTTTTCCCCAGCAACCCATGTGCCCCGACTCACCCTTTGCACTCGTGCTCTGACAGAAGTGCTTGCAGACAGGGCTGGGACAGCTTTCTGGCTCCAGGGAAGACACCGTTGTCCCCGGGTATTCTTCATTTACTTTTTTGTTAGAGAGATCTATTTGATTTCTGTTCTCCTCGGAAAGCTGCTCCTTACTGCCCCCAGACTGCCAGGGAGGGAGTTGCAGGCATGCATGGTTCTCTGTGCCCATCACTGCTTCCATTGCACAAACCCCTCTGTCTCCGATTGCTTCAGGTAAAAGCCTGCAATGTTTGGGCCCAGCACTGATAGACTTGGCAGGTAAATGTAATACCCTTTGAGAAGGAAAAACTGTAGATTTAGAAAACAGAAGGCTGAGATTTATGCTTAACCTGCCAGAAATGAGAGAAGGTGTGTCAGGAAAATGTAGTAATTGAAATACCTTTGGTGTAGGCATTTAAAGGCTCAGGTTTTCAGAAATGGCCTCTTGCATCTGTTAGAATTTGACTGTGAGCCATCAAAGTAACAAGGGAATTCCAGCTGGTTTATGGGAAAGCCCTGAGGACAAGCATTGGCCTTCACAGGTCCAAGATAACAGTCCCATCCCTAAATGCTGGAATGCAAAAAGATGAGGGAGAGAAGGTCAGATATGCTTCATAAATATTTCTCCAAGGCACTCCTTGTTCCTATCCTGCCCCATGGTCTCTTGTCTGGAAGGATGTGTCTGGATTGGGATGGAGGACCATGACTGTGCTTTCTCGATGTTGCTTCAAATGCTACTTCCACAAGGAATCATTTTACATAGCAAGAGACCTCCACAACCCATTGGAGCGAAGGAGACCTCAGTCCCTGTGCTGTCCATTGCTCCTTAAATTTCTAAAGGCTGTTTCTCTCCCTGAAAGCTGATGAGCTGGGGGCTTCCCACATTGCTGTCTGTTGTAGTGTAACGTCGTCCGTGCAAGAAAATGGTCGGGCTTAATCCCAGGCACCCTGTTTGCACACCAGTTCTACCATGTATGTCTGTAGTCTCAAACCGCTGGCTTCCCACCCCTGCAAAACACTGCCTAAAACTTGCCTTGGTGACTGTCATCTCAATAGACTGCAGTGTCAGTCACCTGTTTTGACTATCCCAACTGATTGACAGCTGTAGGCAATGTGTCATGCCTTGTCAACATGTAGATATGGGCCATTAGGCTGTTTATGGGTAACTCACTAGGAGATGGACTAAAAACCTTAAGGTCTGCTTCACAGTTACGGGCAGGCATGCCCTGCTGAAAACAAACCAGAATCTCTTTTTAAAGGACAAAAAGGATTCTGGGTTTATCATCAAGCAAGCCAAAAGCTGAAAATGTAGCATCCTCTCATGGTGCTGGGCTCTTAAAGGACAAAAAGGATTCTGGGTTAATCATCAAGCAAGCCAAAAGCTGCAAATGTAGCATCCTCTCATGGTGCTGGGCTGGCTCCTCCACAGTTTAACCCCAGCTCCAAAGTCCAGGTTGTCACTGGGGGCTGTGATCACCATGGACATGAAGTCCTGCAGGCAGACTATGCTTCAGCAGTTGGAAAGAGAAGAGTACAGTCTTCAAGAAAAAAAAAGTCAAGATTAGGACTTTAAACCCAATCCTTCAAAATCCAAACAAAATCAGTGTGGGGCTTTTAGGTTTGTTTTCTTTTCCTAGACCTACAGATGAAACCTGGCTTTCTAATCTGATTTTGAACCTTGCTCTGGTGTTTTGTTCTCTGGTTTTAGCAGTGCCCCGGGGAAGCGGCAGCTGAATTCCAGGTCAATGCAGTCTCTGATAGGCATCAGCAGTCAAACATGTACGCTGATTTTAATCAGCGGGTTGTGTGATTGTTTGTTATGAAGTATACATTAAATCTCAGCCGCTTGGTAATCATCATGAGACAGAGCCCACAGGGCTGTTTCTCTCTTCTCTTGGCAAGTCTCTCCCCCAGTGCTCTGCTTACAAACTGTCCACAGAGATGCACAATTACCGACTAACAGGAAGCCAGCTGTTACAGCAAGAACTCTCGAGATCCCCTTTACACATGACTTTAATAAAGTTGTATGTGGAAAAACACGCCGATATGGCCATCATGACCACAATGAAATGACAGCGGTCTGCTCGTCTTCCAAATGGCCTGCAGCAGCGGCGAGTGGAAGTGTGCGGGAGGCAAAGCGTTACACGTGGCAACAATCTCACGTGCCTCACATCAGTGATATTTACTTTTCCTTGGCTAAATGAACTAGTAGTTGTAATCCCGCAAGCGCCATTGCCATAGTTACTGCCGCAAAACATCCTCTTCCTTCTGATACTCCAAAGCCAGTTGCAGGTCTGGTGTGACAGGTCAGTCTCTAATGATTTCAATCTAAACACGGAATGCTCTTGTTTAAGAGAGGGAGGGGAGAAAGCCAACACAGGTTAAACCCAAAGAAGCAAACAACGTGGTGGAAAGCAAAGACTATTAGTGAGCACAGTTTCTGCCACGCCAGAAAGTCCTGCTTGCTCACTGACTTCTTTTTAAACACTGCAAACTCTGCTATACCACGTTGCTTTTATCTTTGTACTTAAAATCAGATCCTTTATCTAAAAAGAGTCTTAAAAAACAGATATATCCTTAACCTGCCCCTGTTTTAAGGCCTAAAACTGTGTGTCCTCCTCCATTAAGGTCTACTGTCTTGCTTTTCTGTAGGCAAAAGGTGTGGCTTGCTGAGCGTTTGAGTACAGACACAGAACTAGCACTTCTTCAAAGATCGCACACTCTGGGACCGAAACGTGAGCAGCAGGGACTGCTACTTCATTCTGCAGCAGATGGAATGTGTCTGGATATAGAGGTAGTGTTTTTAAATTAAGAGCATAGAAAAGCTGTGTTTAGAGAACCCATATGGGAGCTAGGATAATGGTTGGTTCTCTTTGTTCCCGACAATACGAGAATTTCCACAATTGCTCATTAAGGCAGGAGCTGATACTTCAACAAAAAGCAGACTTCTTCTGCTTCATCCCCAGCACAGAGACATACGTGTCAAATACAAGCATGAGAAAAGACCGAAAATGACACAAGAAGACATAAATGCTCTTTAAATGGTGGCAGAGTTTAAATGCAAGATGTTTGTTTCATCTGCTCTCTAGCTTTAACAACAGTGACGCTTGGGTGATGGAAAATGGTTGGGTAACTGCCTAAAATCCAGCAGAGAAGAAACCTTGGTTTTGTTTGCCGCACCAAGAGCAGATGTCTGCAACTGCTCAAATTCTCGCTGTGTGAAACACGGAATACTTTCCAGGTCACAGACACAATGATGAAAAAATTAAATACTCCATCACATGTGCATCAACTGAAAGTGGGTTTTAACTATTAACGACTTTCAAGCAGTCATTAGTGGTTTTAAGTACTAACTGACACAGAGGTATAGAAACTGCTTTATAAACTGTCTCACTAGTGGTTATTTCCTTAGGTGCTGAACCTCTGAGACTCTCGTCTCTTCAGCAGCACCTCTGGAAATATCTTGGTTTGATGCCTCAAACATGCAGTGCAGTGCCTGATTTGGGGTATCCACCACGAAAGTTTTCACTGGAGCAGTTTGACTGAATTTGCCCCAGATCCGCAGGTACTCATGAAAATCAAGGTTGTCTGTAAGCAGACAGTATTTCTCAAGATTCTGGTCTCCTCACTCTCGGGTGACTGAGAGATCAGCTTCAGGAGTAGCTTGCACTACACTCCTTGAGCCTAAGTGATAAAAGGAGATGAGAGAATGAGAAAAGCCTCGTCAAACAGAAAACAAAAGAATGAATAAACATGAGCTGAGAAAATGTGGCAGTGGGAAGTGTGTGTGTGCACCACGTATCCCTTACGATACATATTTTGTGTGTTCACTTCATTTTTCCCAGACTAGATGTTGTGTGGGTAGAAAGCGATCACTGTAAAAATAGAAGACTCTTGCTTCCAGTAAACAGCACAGCTGTCTCTCTGTCTAGACTTACAACGCTGTCTGAAGAAAAAGAATAACTGGGCCATGGGTTTAGATTAATCTGATTTTCAGAGAGTTTTCTTCATACCATTGTAAATTGAAATTGTTAAGTAGTTCCAGAAGGTCACTGAACATAGGGTGCTGAATTTTGCTTACACTAATAAGAGGAACTGCCAGAAGGTGCAAGGAGACTTGACATCGTTACAGCCTGCACTGGACAGTATTGGCTTGGTTTTAATTAGTCTTTAGAGGAGGCATCAGTCTGTTGACAGCGCCTTTATGAATTGGCTCATAAACACATTTTATTAATCCCAGCACAGGTCACAGTGACCAGATATTAACTGAACTGCTGTACCGCAGAAAAAGGAAGGACAGCTGGCGATACCTGAAGATAAAATAGAAGCAGATGTCTTGACTTTTCTGAAGAGCAGTTTAGCTGTTGTTACAGTAGGACATTTTAAGCCTAACAAATAATAATGCTGTTGTGACTCCAGCCTGCTCATTGAATTTTGGACTTTGGTAGTGGGCAGTGCCCTTCAGGAGTGAAAAAGTATCAGCAAAAGCACAAGATGCATAAATATCTTGAATATTCAAACTTGTATTTCTGGGACATTGCTACTAAAAGGCAAAACTGGGAAATTCCAGTGCTGAGGTTGACTTTGCAACCTTTGAGTGCCCCTGTATTCCCCAGCAGGCTTTATGACGGAATCATGAAATTGTGTTGTAGGGTCCATAGTCTGCTGCAGAGTGTGAAACGGATTCAGCTTATTGCTGTTGAAATTACAGCTGTTCTCAGGATGTCTTCTTTGCTCCTAGCTGCACCAGCATGGGGATCTGGAAGCAGAATCTCACAGAGGCTTTTCTAAGACACTTGGTGTTCGAGTCGCCTACAAACACTGTCCCCACCCACCTGGCAAAGGAGCAGGGATCCGCTGCCATGGCATAGCCAGGGAGGAGGCAGGCGGCGAGGTTCGAACAGAGGCACCCTCCAGCGTGAGGTGCCCCATCTCCTGCATCTCTACAGCTAGCCCATGGGCTCCATCTGGATCAATCTGAACTTGAATTAATCTGTAATCAGAAAAAAAACCCCTAGGATTTAGTGTTTTGGGTAATTTTTGAGATTATTTTCCTCTTAGACTTGGCAATTTTTAAACATCCCAGCTCGTGTGTCCATGCGGCATAGCCAGGGAGCCAGAGTAGGAGAAGGAGGACTCCCATGTTCGCTGTTTCTAGCCATTGTCAGCATATCTACACGCACTGGGTTTGCTTTTTAATTGCCCTCTTGCCTGCTACCGCACTGAAGCCAGAGACCAGAGAGCAGGTTTTTCTAAACACGTACTTATTTTTCTTCATCTTTCAGTTGTAGTTTCTTCCAGCTGAAAATCAAAGAATGAACAAATCACAGTGGACAAGATATCACTAAAAATACCTGTGGAAAAGGCAAGTAGTAGTAGTTTTTCAGCCAGTTCAACTGGGTGCTTGCCTTTTGCGTTAAGCTTGTAAAAGGGTTAAGACAATTTAAGGCCTCTGAGTTGCGATTCTGCCCTGCTTTAACTAGATTTGACTACAATAAACTCCAATGTTTCTTTTGCTGAAGGGCAAGTGGTATCATTCCAGTGAATGTTTACACAGAATCACAGAATGGTAGGGGTTGAAAGGGACCTCTGTGGGTCATCTGGTCCAACCCCCCTGCTGAAGCAGGGTCACCTACAGCAGGCTGCACAGGACCTTGTCCAGGCGGGGCTTGAATATTTCCAGAGAAGGAGAACATCTGGCTGCCAAACTGAGTGGGGGGGGTATAAGATTGAAATTGAGAAGAACCCCAGGCATATCACTTGGCACATGTGTGCTGCCTGTGTCCTTCCTTCCCATAGGATGTGTGGCTACAGTTCAGATGACGTGATGGCTTCCAAAGCGACGTTCCCCTTCCTCCCTGCTGCCTCATCCCTGAGCTAAAGAAAGGCAGAAAAGTGACGCTGCTCTGGATTCTCTGAGGGAAGGAAGAAAGGTGCTGGGGGGGAATTGCAGACTGGGATCTCTGGGAGGCTTCTGACAGAGGATGCAAGGCTCTTCCTGTCAGAAGCCAGGGTTTGGGAGAGGTTCCTGTGGCAAGGCCTGTCTGTCTGACACCGCTCCGGGGTTCTGCTTCCTCCTAATGCATCCCAGGATCCCATTGGCCATTGGCCTTCTTGGCAGCCAGGGCACACTGCTGGCTCATGGTTAACCTGTCGTCCACCAGCACTCCCAGGTCTCTCTTCACAGAGCGGCTCTCCAGCAGGTCTGACCAAGTGCACAGTATTTCAGTTGCTGTCTGCCCAACGTTCATTGCATCTGGTCTTTAGCTTTATCAAACCTTCTAACGTGGATGCTTCTCTAACAGCGTAACGTTGTTTCCCTTATTCATTGGAAGCCAAGCCACGGAAGACCTCATTAAAATTACAAACATATTGAGTTTCATAGTTTGAGGGTCTGATCTAATCTGATTGTGTCTGAAGATTCAACTGGCCGTCAGTCTAGAATCACATCAAAGTCATTTACTCTCCAATATTAAATCCACTCGTGATCAGTTTTTTAACACTGATTTGATCTGATTGACCATTGCTTCCGCTAATCCGGTGGTGCAATGTAGAGATGAACTGAAATAAAGAAAGCAGGCACTAACGCTAAGGCTACAGCACGCCAGGCGTTTAGGCTCCCCTTCTGAAATCATCTTTATGGTTGCAGGTTTTCCCCCTCTCCTGATATTGCTATTTATCGTCCCCTCAACCCCTCCCCCGGCGATGCAATGTAATTAATATCGTATCGTAGCCGAATCGCTCCGTAGCCCTGCAACGGGACGGCAGAGGACGACACCGGTGCTGGGGGAAGGCCGTGCTCCGGGCCGGGTGGGCTGATCCTTCCCGGGCCCGGCCGGACCCTGAACGCGGCCACGACCCCTCACGCGCACTCCGCCTCCAAGATGGCGACCGGCCTCCCTAGGCCCCGCAGCTCTCGCGAGAACTCAGCGGGCATTCACCCTCCCCCT